TAATCCCCCTTTAAAACTATTCCTGTGGTCATCACTACATCCTCTGGCAGCGAATTCCACACTAACATATCAGTTTGGTGTAGAGCCAGTTTGGTGTAGTGGTTAAGTGTGCGGACTCTAATTTGGGAGAACCGGGTTTGATTCCCCACTCCTCCACTTGCAGCTGCTGCTGATCTTGGGCAAGCCATAGTTCTGACAAGAGCTGTCCTTGAAAGGGCAGTTCTTGAAAGAGCTCTCCCAGCCCCACCTACCTCACAGGGTGTCTGCTGTGGGGAGGGGAAGGGAAAGGAGTTTGTAAGCTGCTCTGAGACTCCATGTGAAGGGCGGAGTATAAATCCAACCACCACCTCCTCCTCCTCTTCTTCTTTCTCTGCGTAAAGGAGTATTATGTTTGCTGTGCAGCTGCCCATAGTGTGATGTGAGGCATGGAAAATCCAAGTTTCATTGCTGTACCCAGCCAGCCATGATGTCTCCTGGACGACCTAGAGTCAGTCACTAGTACCAATGTTCCCTCTAAGCTGAGTTAGTGTGAGCTAGCTCACAGTTTTTTAGCCTCTGGCTCACATATTTTTGTCTTCGCTCAGGAAGGATGGCTCCAGAACAAACTAATTTATGCAGCAGCCAAATTGCTCGCTCACAACTTTAATGCCAGTAGCTCACAAAGTAGAATTTTTGCTCACACGACTCCACAGCTTAGAGGGAACACAGGCAGCTTGAGCTGTCTTACAGGGGGACCGCTGGGCTAAAATGGGAAAGGGGGAGCCATTCATGATCCTGTGAGTTCTGCGGAGGAACTATAAATGTAGTAATCATACTTTTGGTGGCAAAGCTTAATTCTCACACACAGAAAGGAAACCAAAAATGGGTAAAACATTTCTACCAGAAGCTTAACTTTGCAAGAGATCTGCCTCTTGTCATTTATACAAGAACAAACAACTAGGGAAGGAATGCAATGCCCATTCTGCTGCCCTCTCCCAATCCCTGACCATTTCTATAATGATTTAATCCATTCTGCCTTTTTATTCATGAACATAAAACAAAAGGTTGTTGCTGTGTGGGTGTGGGCTGTGTACAGATTGTAGCATTTCCAGCTAGTGAGAAGGTAGGAAGGATTCTTCTTGTTGTGACTGGACAGAGGCTCTTCTTTTTGCTGCTGTTGGACTTGCCCTATGCACAGCTGAGGGGCTGATCCCATAAAAGTTAAGCATTCTGGTCTTTGTGAGTGGGGCAAGAAACAGAGTGCAAATCTTCCCCTTTCTTTGGGAACAGAGACCAGACAGCGTCCCTTTCACATAGGCAAAAAAGTGATCCTGGCTAAGGTTTGCCTCCCCATCCTTGGAGCACAAGGTGCTTCACAGGAAATCAGGAAGGATCACTTTTGTATCTGAAGTGCCCGCCTGGAAGCTGTTGCCCCCGTCATGGGAAGATGCTTGGTTTGGACCTTCCCAGTGTTTGTGATTGGCCCTGCCCTGTGGCAGCCCTGCTGTGATCAGTGACAGCAATTCTATAGCAGAAGAAGAAGGCTAGATTTATACCCCGCCCTTCACTCGGAGTCTCAGAGCGGCTTACAAACTCCTTTCCCTTCCCCTCCCCACAGCAGACACCCTGTAAGAGGTAGGTGGGGCTGAGAGTTTTTTCCAGAACTGTCCTTGAGAAAACAGCTCTGACAGAACTACGGCTTGCCCAAGGTCATCCGGCAGCTGCAAGTGGAAGAGTGGGGAATCAAACCCGGTTCTCTCAGATCAGAGTCCGCGCACTTAACCACTACACCAAACTAGTGCTTTCTACCCTTTCTTAACATTCCAAAAGTGCCTGCAGGCTCAATGAGGTTGAGGGTCCCTGGATTACGGAGCAAAAAGAAATGGAAACAATCCATATACAAAAGAACCTTCTCAGGAAAACTCCTCCATTAGCATGTTCATAGCCTGGGGAACTCCTACAAGATAATGACTCAGCCCTACCCCACCTTCTGGAGTAGATATAAATTACCTGCCTACCATTTTTCTTCTCACCTTGACACAGAGAGTACTCCATCTTTCTGTGTTATACCTCTGAGGATGCCAGTTACAGCTACTGGCGAAATGTCAGGTTCTACAATGCCAAGACCATGGCCACACAACCCAGAAAATCTACAGCAACTAATGAACTCCAGCCGTGAAAGCCTTCGACAACATATTAAAAAGAAATGTTTTGGTCTGGCTCCTAAAAGACAGATATCAAGCAAGCCTCAAGGGGAGTGGGGCATTCCAAAGACAAGATGCTACTACGGAAAAAGGCTTGTCTCTAGTTGCCACCCACCTCACCTCTGCAGGCAAGAGCAAAGAGAGTAGTGCTTGTGTAGAGATATACATCATGCACGACTGAGTTTTCTTGTATGGACAAGCCAGTCCAGTTGTGAATGATTCCTATAGCACAATACCAAAAGACCACTTGAGTCTGCCCTATCATCTCCAAAAAACTTCTCTCTCCTTGTTTGTGCTCAGGAAAGCACAAGAGAGGATATCAGTGTTTATTTGAGAGCCAGTTTGGTCTAGTGATTAGAAGCGTGGACTCTAATCTGGGAAAAACGGGTTTAAATCACCACTCCTCCCACGCAGCTGCTGGTGTGACCTTGGGGCACTCATGGGTCTCTCAGAGCTGTTCTCTCAAGGGCAGTTCTCAAAAGAGCTCTCTCAGTCCCACCTACCTCACAGGGTGTCTTGTTGTGAGGAGGGGAAGGGAAAGGAGATTGTAAGCCGCTCTGAGACTCCTTCAGGTAGTGAAGGGTGGAGTTTAGATCCAATCTCCTCTTCCTCTACCTTTTGCTTCTATATATCATATTAGTGCATCTGATCCAAAACAGGTTAATATTCTAAAGAACATTAAAGATATAAGTTCTGGAACGGGATGGTTGCAGATTTGGCTACTGGTGCAGTGAGCTCTAAAAGGCGGTGGGACAGACTCATGGAGAACAGGGCCCACCGTCCATGGCTAGCAGCCATGATGACTAAAGGGAACCTACACATTCAGAATAACTCAGCTAGGGGGCAGTGAGAGGGGAAGGCCTCAGTCTCTATGCCCTGTTATTGGCCCTCCTGAGTAACCCAGTGTAAAACAGGATGCCACTGTCTGATCTAGCATGGCTCTTCTTGTATTTTGATAGGCCAGTATCAGTTTTGCCTATAGTCCATCTAAATGTTCATACTTTTGGGGGGAAATTACTAAGAGAATATATGTTCTTTTTATAGTCAAATATCTTCTCAAAATAACAAACAAGAATAACTGAAAAAAATTACAAATTGCTATTCAGTTATACATTAAGCACTTTGGTGTACCACAAAGCAAAGACAGGTTGGCAAGGGATTTTTTTAAAAAATCAACTTTTATTGGCCTTTTTTGTTTGACAAAACACACACACAAAACACAGTGAGCTGGGGGTATAGGGGAGTTAACAGCACTCTGTATGCACACCCCAAGGTGTATTTACAGCCCTGCAACCTGGGTAAATTCCAATACTGAAGAAATTTTCCATACATGTGCTGCTACATGTTTTTTTAAATGACAACTATTACTGATCCTATATTAATTATTTGCATTGCTTATTCTGCTTGACATGTGGACTTATCCTTGCCCTCAACCATTGGAAGTTGATTCCAGACCCTCTCCCCAAGCTTGTTAAGAGACCACAAGGTTCTCTTCTCAGTCATCAGGACTAGGAACTTTAAAGAAAGGGACCCAGAATTCTCAAGGAAGCTGAATTCTGAGTTTCATGCCAGTGCTGGAGTGTCAGGAAAGCCTTAACAGGAATCACTGCAGGCATCTAGCCTCCTTCCTGTCTAGGGTCTGTGGGTGGGTGGTCTCTGCTTAAAGCAGGAGGGGCTGGACTACCGTTAGGGCTCTCTTTCTCCTGCTCTCTCAGGCAATTTCAAGCTCCCCCTCCACTATCTTCACAGGCTGCCCTTTCAGAGAGAGCTCCAGCTGTACCCTTCCATCAAGCCGGAGCCCTCAGCCTCCAGTAGTTCAGATTTCTCCCTGACCCCTTGGTGTTTCAGGTGGGGGCACATCCCCATATTTCTTCACCACCCCTCTCTGCTCCCCTCCTTTTCTTTTCACTATAGAACATGTCCATAGCAGGGGGCCAAGGGCTGGGCCAGGGATCGGCAGCCTTTCCTAATTAAACAGCCAAATCGCCACAATGTCCAGAGGAAGAGTTGGTAACAGAAAGCCTGTATGCATAACCATGTTTGTTAATAATCCATAAAAATTTCCATAGCGCGAGTGTTCGCTGGGAGTCTTTTATTAGGCAGTGGCAGACATGAGCTCTCACCAGAAGCCAAAAATATACACAGGGGCACAGACTGTTTCAGCGCACCTCCATAAGTCTGTGCAGGGTTTGTACTTGGATTACCAGCAACTGCTCACCCCTATCATTTCCCTTTTTAGAAAGCATCTCCAAGAAGCCCTTCGCCTGCCATTCCGACCGCATACTGGGTATCCTAGCATCTCACCTACCGCTCCCACAGACCTTCGTGGAAACGGTCTTATTTTCTTTTGTCGAGAGCCCATCTGGTTCCAAGATGAGCCGCATCCGGCTCCGGAGCCATCTCCGGAGCCATCGGCGCAGACCCCCCTGGGGTGCTTCATGCGGTGTGCCAAGACCAGCCTGCCCAGCAGGTGCCCCGTTCCCACAGAACAAGAGCCCTTCCAGAGGGAGTCCTAGCACATGCCAACCTCCAGCCACAGGCACACTTGCCAAGACCCTTGGGGCAGCAACAGCTAAGCAGGAGATGCCACGAGCGAGCCTCCTGCCGCCCAGGTCTCCCTCCGTGGGGTGGGAAGGACCCTGCAGGTAGCAGGGCCAACGTGGGGCCAGCCCCGGCCGGGACTGAAGGGGACGTGGGAAAGGTGCGACCTTCCTCCCTTGAGAACAAAGGCAGCGGGGGGTAGGGGTGGGGGTGGCTGGCTCCCAGGAAGAGGCATCTTTCAGGGAGGGCTCTGCTGCCCCGGCTGCTCCCACTGACCTTTCTCGTACTTGAGGTAGAGGATGGAGACCACGAAGTAGCCCAGGTCGAAGACTGGGAAGACCGGCAGGTGGGCGAAGGCGGCGGCCAGCTCGGCCACGTCCAGGGCGCCCAGCACTTCCATGGCGCCGCCTGGTATGGAGCAGTGTGCGCTGCCACCACCGCCGAAGGACGCGGCGAGGAACCGACTGAGTGAGCCGGGCAGGCGGGCGGCAGAGACCGCCCCGCGGGAGGGAGGGAGCCGCCCCTCGTCTCCGCCCAGCCACCTTCCAGGAGAGGGTTGCGGCGCCCTCTGAGCTCGTGCAGAGTGCAGGGGGAGGGGTTGTGGCTCGCCCCCCCCCAAGCAAGCGGCTCTCTAGCTGTGCCTTGGGCCGAGCGAGCACCGAAGTCTCTTCTCTGGCCAGAGGGCGGCTGGAAGATCCAGACCGAGCCGCGGGACTCGCTCCCTGGGACCCTCCCCCCCCCTCCCGCCGCTGCCTCTGCAGACTCCCCCTCGGGGGGGA